CCTCTCCCTCTATTTGTGGGTCTCCAAATTAGTAGACACCTGTACACTGAGAGGGCTGTGTGCTTGTACTTAGTGGCACTTCAGCCTTAAAATATATTTGGTACAAATTTAGTACTGTGAGAAAACTGTTTTGCCTTTTAATTCAACACATCATAAGATGGTTTTCCAACTACGCCCTCTCCATTAAAAGAAAAATCCAGTTATCAGCCTTTCTTGAAATAGCACAAAATTCCAACTTCATTCTTAGTTCAGTATTGTGCCTTGATAAACATGTTGCTATCCTAGATAAGCAGATCTGTTCTTATTCATGAGATATTAGTACAACATGTCCTTATCTTGGACAGATCTTTGATGGGAATGCTCCTGTTTGATGACACATGTAGACAAACCCATATTAGGTCTTCCTGAGCTCCTGATAACTTCATTGTATTACTTTCAGCTTGCTGAAACCTCATGTTCTGTTGTAAAGGTGACTGAAGAAATACGCCTTTGTCATTGCAGTTCACTACAAGCCCTGCTCATTTCCTATTTTCCTATTGTAGTGCCTTAACAATGGCAATGTTTAATTACTTTCTCCAGAATTGCATCCCAGGATTTGGCTAATTCCCATTTAACATTATTTACTCCTCCCCCATTTTTGACCTTTTTCATGTCATCAAGTGATTGTCCCCAGGGTCTGTTATTGCTGTCACATGAAGGGCACTTTGTTATGGAAAAGCTTCCTTGCAGTCTAGTTGAAATGTGACATTTAACTAAAAAGAAAGCCATGGAATAAGCCAACAAAATAGTTTCTTGAGAGAAAACTGAATTTCAGAAAAAAAAAGCTTTTGTCTTTCTGAATAAAAATTCTGACTTTAAAGATGTTTGTCAGCTTTCAACTGTAAAAGATAAAATAAAATAATACTTTCAAAGTCACATGAGAGTTTGTTGTAGGAAATGTTTAGTTAGGATACACCAGTTTACACAGAAGAATAGAGACACCCCATATCCAAACTACAACTCCCACAAGGAATTGTGTCAACACAGAAAGATGCTTTTAATGTTGACATAAAGCATTTTGTTTTGTAAGTGTCATTGCAAATGTGATTTGGATAAAAATGCTGAAATGAAGGACTTCACTATGTCTGATATGTTTTTTTTCTAGAACCTTTTACGTCAGAAGAAACTAGTATTTTATTTTTCCATCACAAGTCAGGATGAAACAATATTGAAATCATAGGATTTCTCATGGGATAAAAAAAAATCCAGTTTTTGTTCAAGTCCAATGGAAACATACCCATAAAATAGTACTCTCTCACAGTAGACTCATTCTAGCCTTTGCCTGAAATCCTCTCAATTGGAATGGTTACTTCCTGCAGGACACCCAGGTCCCTCTGGTCTTACGTTACGTGTTCATTTTCACTGGAAACTACTGAGAGCTTTGGGCATCCAGTTTTACATTGCATAGTTGGTAACTGTTTCTATAGTTATACTTTGTCTTCTCATCCATACTCATGTCCAGATTCCTCCACGCCATTCAAAGCTCTTGGGTGCTACTGTAACCTGTGACCATGAAAGCCACAGTCTGCTTTAATGTTTCATGAAAATGTTTAACTTTTTTTTAATATCCTTTCTTCTAATACTGAGACTAAACAGGTACTATGTGACACTCTTTATTTTGATAATTATATCATGTTTCCTCATCCCCAGACCCTGAGTTGAACAATTTCAAACTTTTGTGTCTTTCAACATGCTTGAAAGGTTTTCCATATTCCCATGGCTTGTTCTAAGCACCTTCTAATTCTGCAGACAGCCTTTTTGATAAGGGATGATTCACACAGCTTTCTGTCCAAGACCACACTGCTGATTTATTTAATGGCACAGTCAGATTTCCTATATCATTCTCCACTGTGTTTCTTCATATTTTTATGTTTTTTTTCACTTGGCCAACAACTAGAGCAGTAGCTTTCATTGTGCCATGAATAAAAATGCCTACCTTAAGTTCTTCTTTTATGAGTAGAGAGGGTTAATTTGAAATCAGTAAGACAGGCAAATAACTTGTGTCTTATACTGCATTTATCAACTTGTATTTTCAGCTGTTAACATATTGCCAGTTCGTTGATCTCTAATAAGGCTCTGAGCGCCTGTACAGGAATCCTTTAGAGGAACCTCTGATTTTAAGTAATGACAAAATCATATGTCATCTCTAAGAATTATACCAAATTTTATTATGCCCTTTTTCCAATTATTCATAACTATAGATCATGGCAGAGAATGCCGAAGCACCTATGACTTAAGGGGTCCATTATTTAGTCTTCGTAACAGGTTAATTAGCCAGTTCTTGATCTGTTAAAATATTTTGTTTCTTATGATATGCTGATTTAACTTTCATTGTAAATAGTTGTGGGGCGCTTTGGTAAATGTCTTATGAAAGCCAAATGCCAAATGTATGCATTGGATTTGTGGTTTCCTTTCTATTCTCTACAGTATTGTTATAGATAAACAAATCTAGCAGAAGAGTTTGTTTTCCTAGAAACTGAGCAGGGTGGATTTTATCATGTAATGGTCTGGTAGCTGTTTCACTATCTATCTTTTTTAATTATCAATTAACTAATTTGCAGACATGCATATATACATGTATCCAAGTGTATATAAAATAGTTACTTGTGTATACTCTCCTGGATTATACCCTAGAGCACTGATAAAAGATAGATAAAATATTTGCTATCCAAAAACCCCTGTGCTTTTAATGAGAGAATGTATCTTTTCACAAGAGTTCAGTCAATTCAAGTGTATGTCCCTTCAGAACACTTGGATGTATGCCTCTGGCTCAGTAATGCATTTCCTTTAAATTTAGTATTTTGCTGCAACTCCTCTTCATGTCGAACAGTACTTTGCACTTATTACTGGAAAAGCAAATGTCCAGATCAGGCATTTTTCCAGCATCTTTAGTGGTGAAGGGTGATGTAAAGAAAATTTTTAGCTTCATAGCAATGTCCTCATCTTCTTTAATTATTCCCTTTAGCCTTTCACAAACCAGCACACCCACAATACTTTCATGGGCTTCAAACTTCTGAGCAATAAGAACTTACTTATGTTTTGATTTTACTTACTTAGTCTCTTAAACTCACGATCAGATGTTGTGGGGTTTATTTGCCTCAAACACAAATAAAAAGTAGGTAACAGGAGAAACATGTATCCTGCATTTTTAAAGTACTTTTTCCCAATATACTTCAAACAGCATTACAAAAGAGGACATGCCTCATTTTACAGACAGGGAGCTGAAGTACATTGAAAAGTGACTGTGCTGGGACAATGCAAGAGACCTGGTGAATACAGCTCTGGTCTTTCAATTCTCTGGTGCTTGAAACAGATAGCATTGCTTCAAAGACAGAGATACGTGCAAGAAACAGACATTAAAATGCTCTATTTAATCATCTCACTCTACACAATGATACATGCACAGACAAATAGATATAAAATGGATGTATATAATATGTGTGTGTATTCAACATATAGCCTAATATTTATGAAAAGAGAGTTGAAGCAGAAAAAGAACAAGATACTTCAAGATATTAAATTACTAAGATCACAGCATACAAAAGGCGGTCATTGTTCATACCTGGCCTGGTTGTAATTCTTTGTGTTGCTTCTGGATAAACTGATGTATTTGGAAAAATAAAAGTGGCACCTCCTGAAGAGAAAGAAGAAGACATAACACCTAAAGATTCATTTTCACAGTCCCTAAGTCCACTGATATTTTCCCTCTTGTAGTGTGTCTAAATGAAGACTATGAATAACTATTTTCTATCTTAGGACTGTTATAAGTTAATTCCGATAGCCTTTGCACCTATGTAAATCCATTCAAATTACTGGATAAAAGTCTGTGCAAAATCTGTGTTAAAAGAGGAGAGAGACAAGTTCAGGAAATCCCTTCTACCTTCCCCACAAACACTTCCACCTGGGCAGGTGTTTTCATATCTTCTGAAATAAAACTTCTTTGCCTTCTCTTCATTAGTGCATGCACTTCCCAAACAGGTTCATATTTTCAACAGAGACTGTAGGCCTGGCACAAAGCCTATTGGTGTCTGTGGGAATCTTCTCACAGACTTTGGTCAGCTTTGGGTCAGACCCTCAGAAATCGCATTCTCTTCACAGAGTGAAAAAATTAAAAATATTGAGCTTGATACAGAAAATGGTATCTCACTTATCTCAGGCATTGAAATTGCTCTAACTACATCAGCAGACTCCTAATGACCATCTCTAGGAACATGAAAAGGGTCATAAGGATTTGTGCAATTACTGCTGACTTCAAGAGGAACTTGTTTCTAACTCTTTTGGGGCCCTTTGAAAATCCCACTCCAAAGTTCTTATGCCACCAGAACAACTAGTTTTCTTTATGCTGATGATCAGCATGATATTATTCACACTCCCAATGACAGAAATGCAGTGAGTCTCATTTTGGTGAAATGAATTTCAAAATATCATTGTCAGTGCACACATATAGAAAAAGATAACACACAGAACTGCTGAACACTTGGATAACTGTATGTGGAAACTGCTTGGCAAATTAGAATCTGGAAAGCCAGAGATGGAAAAGACCATTGAGTCCATCTATTTTTAAAAAGGGCTTCAGGCTTATTCCAAACCCCATCAAAGTCAATGGACATTTTTTTTGTTGCTTTTGGTGGGGTTTGCAGCAGGCCTACAGCCCACAGTAGGACTTTATGTCAAGTGGCAAACATCTAATCTCAGGGAGACATCTTCTAAACTAGTTAATTTAGCTAGAAAAGTCACTGCTATTTACCACAGTGAAAAACTAAATGAAATATGAAAAAGGCATCGCAATCCAAGGTGTTCTTTTTTTTTTTTCTTTTGCATTATCCTTTGTATTATCTTTTTCATTTCTTATAAAGAATTGTTATTTCTGGTCACTGTAGGTAACTAATACCCTCAGGCATGATCATGCAATATTCCAAACATCTTTAATCAGTATATATACCATACTACATGTACAATTCCATGCCATCTTTTGTTGCACAACTGCTGGAGGAAGATAAAATTTATTCTGAATTATTTTCATAAATATTTTAAGTCACATCCTGAAAGACAGATGCTTTTGAGGCATGTATCGTACTTACACTCAATACTTTTCTGGGCCAAATTAACAGAGGGGTGAATATTAACAAAAAATAATTTTACATTCAGATCAGACTTAGTGGAAATTACAATATCAAACTTAGTGGAGTTTCCAGCTCAAGTCCCATATAGCTGACAAATGAGATGAGCTAACTGCCTAAATAGCAATTTTATTGACTTATAGGATATATATATTGCATGGGAGGGGAGACAGTCCCCATTCACCAGAGGCAACAGCACTTAGGCAAGTGCTGAAGCACTTTTGACCTCTATCAACCTTCTAGGGATCTGTGGAGTAGATCTGACAGTACAATAAGACAGAATGAGAAAAAAAGTTCTCAGAGACAAAGGCCCCAAGCCTGCAGTTTATCATGTGTCAGGGACCCCACTCTCCTGTAGGACATTAGAAATTACCAGTAAGGAGACCATTTTTGCACCATCTGGCCCTACGTTATCTCACCTTTTTTCTGTGTGTCTGTGCATAAAACTCACACACACAGCAAGGAGAGGATATGCTTGTCTCCCTCCTGATTTAGCATTTCCATTTTTAGTAAGCAACCCATAAAAAGGAATCCTGTGCTTTTAGAAGATGACCTATAGCAATGGGAGCAATGCCAGCATTACCTGTGTTTCTAGCATGCATTAACCGTGGAGAGTTTTGTAAGGCTTTATCAACATCATCTGAAGTCAAATGTGGAAGAGGAGCTACAAAACAAAACAAAAAGCAACACCAAAATGAAAAAAAAATTGTGAATTATCTTTTTAAACCATATTTTCCCCTGACAGGATTGTCTGAATGCGAGTCTACTGACAGTCAGTTTCAGTCTGCAGTTTGGAGGGAGGTGTGTGTGCTACAGCTTAAACTAGGGCATTCATTTATTCAACATTATGAATGCATAATATTTCTGACTGATTATTGACAGTGTGCGTGTGGAGAAGACTGCACCGCACTGGTGTTGCAATGCTTGTTGTTTTTTCTTTAAAAGCCATATTCACTTTAACTTCTTTAAACTGAGGCAAACCTGCAAAATTTCCTCAAGCTTAGATGAAAGCCCTCAAGCCAGGAATTCACTAGTCCCTTCTTTCCCTTTGAAATGCTAGCCATGCACTACAAGTAATTTGCATTTGGACTTCAGGGACTGTTCCTTTTTTCCATGAATGTACAGAACTTTTATTCTGTTCAGTGAAATCTTCCTGATCGTATTCAGAGTAGAGCAAACTGCTGTCAGCCCTCAGAGTCATGCCTGGAATTCACTTTATGAATCAATGTTTGCACTCTCATTTAGCATTCTCATCGTTAAAATGGAAAGAAATGAGTATGTGACCAGAAAAAACATTAGCACTGAATCCCATATTATTTTCTTCCTACAGTATGCTGATGAATATGCTGGGTTTCAATTTGATTTTTCTCTGAGATGGACATGTAGAAATATCCCCTAACTCTCTTCTTCAATGAACATGAGTGAAAGCCAACTGAAATTAATGGGAATCTTTCCATCAAACTCAAGAGGCTTTGGATCAGGCTCCCTACTATGTTGTTAGGAACAGCAACAGACATTTGAAAACCCAGCTGAGTGTATCCACATCATTAAATCTAAGACTGGTATCAACCACATATTGATTGTAGCCGCTACCATAATGACAGAAAACTAGCTTACTCTCTCTGAGGTAGTGTAGGTGTGACAGGAGGATATCTGCATTATAGCTTGGGGTGAGTCTCTGGAAGTCATCTTTGGTCATTTTACATAGCTCCTTCCCATCGATGTTCTGGAACAACAAGATGTCCACATCTGGGAGACCGTACTCCTTCACTGCCCATTCCAACCACTGGCGTACGTGGTCTGTGCTCCATAACGTAGGATCTGGTGGTATCACAAAGCATAAAATTAGGCAGAGAGGGGAGAGCGCTGATGCGCTGGACCAGTACAAAATAAATGTAGATCACAGTCAAACTGGAAAGACCTTAATCCCTTGTTTACTGGCTGTTGGAGATACATAAGGAATTAGTTCGGCCTGTTGAGTGCAAAGGAGAACAACTGTCTGTGAAAAACTATTAGGGAAGAGCTGTGAGCTCTGATTATTAACAAGAAACCCTCTGCTGTTGAGCTCCTTCTCCCATTTAGTTCTTTTGTCTTGTTGTTTTTATGCATTATTATCCACAGATTAACATAGGCTCCTGCCCTCATGCAGAGAATACTCTTTAGAAAAGTATTTAAGACAGCCCACTAACAGCACTGCAACTTGCATCTGAACAATTTTCAAAGCTCTCTGTTGAATTTGTATCTTTAGTCAAGTGAAATTTCCACTCAAGTCAGAAGTACTGTTTCTTGGGCATAGGCTAATAAGCAGTCACAGATTTGGCTAGTTATTTCATAAACTAGAGTGGGTCATGTTAAAATATTCTGCACTTCCTTTCCCAGACTGCTGTGTTGTACTGGTGTACACTGCTACACCTGCATGGGTTTTTACTTACTACCTGAAGTACTGGCAAAACCATCTGGGGAAAAAAACAAGTCCAGATTTTTAGCAAAACATAAGGCCAAATACCTTGTGTTTTCGAAAGAATCCTTGATTTTAACTTAAACTTCTTTTTTGTCTCTAAACTCTTCCTTTTCTGTTTCTCTTCTGTTCTACTTTTCCCTATTCTTGTGTTACAGTAAGCACCACCGATATGAAGGTCCCTAACAACCTGTGTGTGCACAACCCCATAATGGAAGACAGCTCCTACCATGAAGAATTTATACTTTTTGAAGAGGAAAGAATAAGGCTAAGGGGAAACAAACTCCTTGAGAGTTTGTGCCTTCCAACCTAAACAATTCTGTGATTCTGTGATATCCTGAAGACTGAGAATGGAGCACACAGAGGTCAAATGGCTGTATTCTGTCACAAAAAAGTCTGTGGAAGGGCTGGGACTTGAGTGATGGTCTAAATAGCTTTTCTGTGGCTTAATTCAGTGTCATCCCCTCTCTTTTGACTGTTGTTCAGGCTGGTCTGAAAGAGGTGGGGACCTCTTTCCATGGGCTAGGAACTATTCAGAGTCTGTCATGCTGTTGCTCACTCTCAATCCTTCACTCAGTAGTGCCTCCCCTTTTCTGATGCTTCTTTTGGCATTTTAAGCCCTTGCAAGTTAGAATATTTAATCCTCTGGAGCTTCAGAGGGTTTCTCTGTTCTCTGAAGTGCACCAAAAAACACTTAAAAGGACCCTTCCATCTGGTATGAAATATGCAGCAATCTAGAGAGATGCAAGTCTGGTTGATAAACCCAGGCTCTGAATGAGATTGCCCACATTTACAGCAGAGAACTCCAACAACTACATTTGGTTTGGTTTGAAGTAAACAACCAAACACCAGGAAGTTTACCAAAACATTGTGATTATGCCTGTAATTTTTAAATGCTTCTTATTTATGATAACTAGAAAGTTACCACAGCTGGAAATGTGAATTTTGCTTTTTTTTTTATTCCTAAACATTGCCACATGAGCTGCACACTGCCTATGCAGTAGTCAAACAAACCCAACTGATTTTTACCCATACATTTCTTCTAGGGACCTCAAAATAGCAAGGCTGTGATTGTGACCATCTTGTTCCTTAAATGTCACTCAAATCCACCTCAAAACACACCTCCAGGAATACACTGAGAAAAAAAGATGTCGCTGAGCTAACCATGCTAAGGGTTACTAAAAGACTGAAAAAAGTGCCAACCACCAAGAAGACAAATGTTTTAGACGAACACTCAAATGTCATGAATTTCACTGTGGTGTGCTTCCAGTCAGCCAGGACACTTCATTATTCAGTGCATCACTCTTCTGTGCTTCAGAACTGTCGATACCATTGCAGAGGATACTGCAAGATATTTGTCCACACTTATCTTGACAAATAACTGAAATAATCACAGCTTGCAAAATTGGCCACAGTTCGTACTCTTGCATATCTTAGCAACTGAAAAACTGAAAGAATATTAAGCAACATAGCAGTAGCAGAAATATTTCAGATGGGCACATCTCTGCTGCAGAGGAACTAGCAGCAAAACATTCCCTTCTGTTTGCAGGTTGCAGGTGTTGTGTCTATATTGTGTATATCCAGTGGTTTATGAACACCCACACATGCCATGATGGTCTAATGTTTTGACCTCGGAAATAGGCATGCTAATTATTTTGCACGAGGGAACAAACCTTCAAGCAGAGGTTTGTTTGGAGGACAAGGCACACAGGAGTGAATGCCTTTTTGTTCAATTAACTGCTGAATCCCACAACCAAGCTTGCCAAGACTAACCAAGAATTTCTCAATTGTGCTCTTATATTGCAGTGGAGTTGTCAGTTTGCTTATTAAAACATTTTACACCGCCCAAACTCAGGGGACAACCTAGATAAATGCTTTTCAAATGCACTGTTTGATTTCACAGAAGCTATTGTGTTTTTAGCATTCTGAGGGCTGGACTGCATTTGGTATTTGGGATGTCATGTGGTACAGTGGTCCTTTCTCTCTCCCAAACACTGTGCACCCAGCTAGTCCATGGTGTTAGGAAATGGAAGTGGCTCTTCATTTTGCCCACTTTAGGGTGAAATACTCCAAAAGGAGCTAGAGAAGTCAGATAAGATCTAAGTGCCTGTGATCAGCCAGTTATGCCGGTGAAATGGGAAGGACAGGTTGAGGAGGTGGCTTCACTATGATATTTCTCAGCTTGTTCTCTTAATAACCCTGGGAATTACTGCTCTTTTCTTCCTGATCACCTGTATCACATTGCCACTTTTCTCCAAATCTCCTTAAATAATGTTAGTAGACTTAGGGGAAATGCATTTTTTTTCTTGAAATTTTTGTGAAGAGGGTCTAACCTGCTGGCACAATGACTCTTCGTTCATTGGTAGTCATGTTTGGGGGTGGAACGTGCTTCTCTTCCATGTAGTTTCCATAGTTCATCCCAACATTGTCTGAGCCGCTAACCATTTTCCCTCCTTTTGCCACGCTGCAGTCATCAGGAGAATTCCTAGACAGAGAAGAGAGGTGCATTTCTATTATTATTCCAGTCTCTACCAATATCCCTAGTAAAGAATAATGTTGAATGAAATGACAAAAATGAGACTTGAGCGCCAGGGTTGGGCTGTCACTGGAAAACTCAGTACCTACCACCCAATGATTCTGCTGATTCCTTCAGTTGCCTCAGAAAAAATGACCAGCCTCAATGGACCATATATTTATTTCTGTTTTCAAAGGATCAGGCTTTTATACGTCTCTAAACATATAAACACTAATGATTTATTTCCAGAGACCGGGCTAGAATGGAGGCTTGTTCATGAGCTTGCTGAGCCTGATAGCTGCAAGTAGCTCCACTTCTCTCTCCAAACATCTCACAGACAACTCAGCAAACATAGAGATGCACTAAATGTACATTTTCTGAGGGAAAACTATTATCAGTTGTCATTGTCCAAGCCTTGTCCAAGGCTTGGACAGCTTCCTGTCTCCACTGCTGTCATTGTTTCATGTGGGCCACGCTCAGTTGCACTTTATGTCATGCAATGTAGACACGCTTCTATGTATGGCTTACAGAAAACGAACATTTGCCAAAGCCATGATTCAAAATACCACACGCATGACTGGAAAAATCTTTCAGCTCCTGACTAGCACAGTCTCCATGGTACTGTAGTCAAGAAATGGAAATCTGCAGAGGATCTGCAACCAGACACCTCTTTAATTTTGGCTTTGCTTTCTGAATAGAGTCTTTAGATTTAACATCCCACAGGGGGTTCCCTAATGGCATTTTAATTGCATCACAGTTTTCTTTCTGGCAGACACAGACATATTTGTCCCTTAATTTAATGTCTACAACGTGTTTCATCAGAGAGAGAAAAATTGTGACAAAAATCAAAATAAAGAACAGAGCTGCGGGGAATACCTTTAAATGTAAAGAGGCTGTTTGGCAAGGGAAGGAGGGTGTTAGTTGGGTTTTGGTTTCTTTAGTGATACTACATTACTAACAAGCTTTCTTTTAGTCCTGCCATTTAACTGCTGAAACTGTACTGTGGTCTTACTAAACAAGCAGCAAGTCAGGTTGTGATGCTTCATTTCGGTTCCTTGCAAACCAATTAATTTGCAGTCCAGAGAACCAAGAGACCCTCCAAGACCCAGACTCCTGAAAGCATGTTTCAGGATCTGCCCTCTGCCCCCCAAAATGTGTTTCACCCAGAGCCTCTTGCTCTCCCCAGCTCAAAAAACCCAGCTCTTGCTGCAAGTGTTGGGCAGCAATATCACTGTAAGCCCACCAGTGGTCAGAATACAGGTTCTTTCCCAGTAGAGCTTTGCTATTGTTTGAGGACAAAAGAGGAAAAATAATACACAGTTTGGACCACTGTCTGCTCAACATACGTCGATAGTATGTGGCAGATATTTTATTCAATGCCCAAGTGACTCAGTTGAGTTGACGGCTCAGCACTACCATGGGTCACGAACTAATGCAGTTATAATTCTCACATGTGTGTTTTAAAAAATAACTAGCACTTGGAAAGCTGAAAAGATTTAGTATACATCTTAAATACTAAAAGTACATTTTAAGTATATCAGCTTTTTTCTATGCAGTGTTACTACTGATTTTACCATGTCGTGTTAACGTATACATTAAAAAAAATTAACTGCTGATGGCTTTCAGTTTGAAAATAAAATATATCACAGAAACCACTCAGTGGGCACTGTCATCTTCTTTAGGAGAAGCAACACGGCCTTGAATGTTGCCTGGGAAATGTTTGCTTCACATACTTTTTTCAGGTATAAAATATCTTGGGTGCTGCATAACATATTACATATGAAATCTGCCTCGTGTAAAGGTCCTACAACTGCTTTGTCAGCAACAGGACTGAATAATAACCACAAGGGAAGATATAGTCAGCACATGGTCTTGCCTGTCATTGAGTGGTGGTGAATTTAGCCTTTCGTCTCAGAACCAGAATACTTGGGCATTACTCTCTCAGGTTTAACTTTTCTATCCCACTACATACCTCGAAATATAATTCTGGTATGCAGCTTATTTCTGTCTAAGCAGAGCTAAGCAAAACAAAGTAACTTTTTCTTTCAGATGTAAACATGTTGAAAAAGAGCTTTTGTGATGATTGCTTGTGACTAAAATGTTGACCTTTTCTGTTTACCTTTAACAAATACAAATGGCATATATGCATAAGTGAGTCTGCATACTAAATCACATATATTTGGAAACATCATCCAACTCTGCCCTTACACCTGTGCAGATGCCCACCCTGACTCCCAAGGTCAGTTATGTTAGAAAGACAAAAGAAAGAACCATTTGGCACATTCACTGACTTTTTAGGGATGTTTTTGGGAAACAGAGAGCTAGCAGCATCCTTTGGCCTAACTGGCACAGTTACTTCATTTTGTTTTTCTGTGAAAAGGAACTTGGGATACAGGGACATCAAAGTCTTTCTGCTGATGTGAAATATCACATCAGTATTAGCCTACACCACTTCTGTGGGCAATCATGCATTAAAAACACTCTTGTAAACACTGAACAGTAAATGATGTGAAAGATCCAGTAGTAGCACACAGCTTTTGGCAATCTGACAGGGCTTCTGAGCTGGTTTTCTGATCTGAATATAAACAGACAGGGGCGGGGAAAAAGATCATAAATAAGTCAAAACTTTTCACTAAAATCCAGAAAGCAGATGGTCAAGGGTTTTGTCCTGTTAACTTACTGGGTGGACAAGCAAATCCCCTGTTCAGCACATTTTCTAAGACCATGCTTAACTTCAAGCATGTAAGCAGCTCCAGGACTACTCAGGTACTTCAAATTGAGTGCATGCTTATGCATACCACAGAACCAAGGCTTAATTGAAATGGCTGGAATGGATTTCTATGGTATAGAAAGCAAAACTGAAAATGCAAGCAGACACTAGAAAATGGTATTTTTAGTGCCCAGAACAACAAGAGAGTGATTGTCTATGAAGACTTTTTTTAGGACTTTCTGTGAGTCTGCTTTATTTCTGAACCACCAGGGGAGCAGGGGCAGTGGAAAAGCAGCTTTCAGAAAGTGTGCCCAGTGTAAAGGGTGCAGCTTTGCAGTGATTCATCCTAAGCCCCAGGTCTGAAATGAAACCCAAGATGTTTTTCTTCACAGCTGCATGTTATTTTTAGCCTTTGTAAATATACTGTATTACACCTGGAATTTACCAAAAAAAAAAAAAAAAAAAAGTAGAAAGACTACAATCATGCTACCCAAGAGCACTTTTTGTCCACTCCTGAGCTGATTCAGTTCTGAATGCTAATGTCTGCCTGTTGAAGAAAGTATTTCTCCATGGGTCCTTGGACCTGGAAGTCTCGTCTTTATTCAGGGTTACTTAGAATCAAGCTGATTTGATGGTTAAATTTAGCACCCACTCCTACTGAAGCTGATTGGAGTTTTGCCAGCCATTGACTCTGATGAAAGCAGATGTAAGTTCATAAATAAGTGTATGAAACACATTTTTTCCTCTTCACTATGCTACTGTTTTCCCCATGTGACATGAAACACCTGTGTTGTGTTAAAATGCAAGGTGTCAGAGAAACACAGATTAAGAATCAGCAAAATTTTACATGATCTCTGTGACATTCCCATAATATAAACCCCTCTATTTACTACTTCTGCATTTCAGAGGGAAATAACTGAGAAAAAATGTATTCTTCAAATATCTACATATCTTTGTAGGTTTATTTAATAACCACAGCTTGAATAACTTCCTTACAGAGGCTGCTTATAGAAAAAGGGTCTCAGGAGAGCAGAGAGGTGTAAGGATATCTTTGAACAGTTTTCCACGCATGGTCCCCATCCAGCCCGTGGCTGGTCAGGTCAGAGGACATGCTGACCTACCAGGAAGTTTTGTTCTGTGAGGCTCTGGTGAACAAACCATGATGTTGTCGTACAGGATACAGATTCCTCTCCTCACCTCTCCTCTCCCATTTCGTAATGCCAGTGAACTGAGAAAGAGTGGAACGGCCCCAGCAGGGCTGTGATGACCCCACCCTGTCCTTACGTACAAGAGGGAGAGCTCCACAAAGCCAGCTTCTTCAGATAATTTGGGCCAATATATGTAAATTTATATTTAGCCAAAATGACATCATTTAAAGCTCAGCTCATACTGAGTGTATGGCAAAGCATGCTCAGGCTCGTCTCCATTCACTGCAACTACTCAAGTTGTAGTGAATTTGGTCAGCACTTCACCCCCCACAAAATGGTTTGTCACTGAAAAAGTGGCCCATGAAGAAAAAACCAAAACTTCCCTGAGATTTCTTACTTTGAGGTACACTGCTGTTTCTTAAAGCACATCTGACATACTTTAGTCCACGATATCAATTCAAAGGGTTACACAGCTGTAGCCCTACACTCACTTCCCCAACCCTCTCTACACCCCCTTCCTCTTCATGAATCAGTGAGATTCACATCTGCTGAGACCTGCCACAGGAGTGACATGCAAAGAGGGCTCCTGCAGATCCCCTTTTGGGTTCCCCTTTGGCAGCAATCACTGGGGACAGTCGGACCCTCCCTGGTGAGAAGCAGCCCGTGTTCCCCAACTGCCGGGGCTGCACCAGCAGCTTTGCGGAGCCCCAGGGGCTGCTTCCCTGGCACCAGCTGTGATCCCCATGGGTGCTGAGTGAGACTCTGAAAAGCACTTTCAGTGGTGATATCAGAGGCCCCAACACTTGCTTTGATTGAGCTAGGCTTCCACCATGCACACTCATCGCCCACCACCGCAGCTGGACGCGCCTGCCCGGCTTCTGTGCGGACACCAGGCCAAGCCCTGCAAGCGCACCAAGCACTCTGCTCCTGTGCAGGCACCTGCCCTTAAATCTGCTGCGTGAGCACCACCACGCTTAACCTGGTGAAAGGAAAACAGGGGTTTTATTTTCCCTTCCAAGGCTTCTTGTGAAAGCAGTGCAAAATTCCCCACAGAGGACTCCAGCATAACAGAGGCATTAAAATGCCAGAAAATGCACGTAGGTCGAAATGTC